AATATAACCACCTACTAGAAAATGATATTCTCAGAAAAATAGAGCATCAACTACCAAAAGATCCAAGGACAATCTCATGGCTAAAGGAAACCTATGTAAACCAGTAAAGGCACATACAGGTTAACACAATGCATTTAACAGGACTATGCATTGATTTTTTACTTTTGGTATGAGATATTGTCAGATTCTGAAAGCTTAAAAATCATTAAAAATTAACTACCCATGATTTGGTGTTATGATTATAACAACCAGTTCATTAAATTGCACATTTAAGAGGAACTGTTATGCTGAAGTCATGGTGCATAAGGTACAATTCTGGGTTCCACCTCAGGATGCTATACCTAGCAGCAGATTCTGGAAGAGCATAAAGAACAAATGCTGTGCCCTTGGACCGTTTTGTATCTTTATCAACAACAATATGGACCTCTGAGATGTCACCAAAGTTTCTGAAGTGTTCTTCCAGCTCCTCTTCGCTGCGTTAGATCAGAAGGCACTTGATGCATAGGAAAAATAAAAACAAAAAGAAAATGATAAGAAATAGCTATTGGCACAGGGCTCGAATTGTACATGGCAGTGTATGGCAGATTACGGATGTAAAGGCGGCCGGTCTCACGGATTTGTTCTTTCTCATATTTTGTACTTGATGATGGATTGTCAGAGTGGAATATTTTCTCACTAGATATTTCAGAGGAGACATCTTCAGTCTCACCTTCTGAAATTTCCTGTTTGAATGTATCCCCATCAGGACCATGGTTGTTTTTGTTCAGAGAATTACCACTCCAATCACTATCATCATCCACATCAGAGTCATCAGCATCACCATTACTTTCGGAATCTGACCACTCTTTTTTTATTCTGCTCTTGAAGTAATCCATATCAGATACAACTTCATTGTGAACTAAACTGTCTGCTTTAACAGCCTTTTGATTCTCCAACAATATATTTTCATTTCCCACAGTTCCCTCAAACTGAGCGCTCGGTTCATCTAATTTCCAATGACTACCTTTTACTTGGAGTTTCCTGCTACTAGCATCTTTACCTTTCTCAAGAGAGGGAGCTATAAGGGCATCATTTGCCCACAATTTTGACTTGCTGCGCGGCTGCATGACCTGTAGAAACTCTTGAAATTGAGGATCATCATTCCCATCATCCTTCTTCCTCTTCTTAATCTCTCTCTTTGCTGCTACAATTTTAGAACCTTTAGGACCATTTAATTTATTTTCCACTCCAGATGAACTCTCCTGTTTCTTTGATGAGTAGCGACTCCACGGACGAGGTATTTCTAGATCTCCAATCTTCCGAGCAATCTGTGTTCAGATAAAGGTTAATCTTTTTTCCCTCTTTTAATTAAAATACCTAAAGCATGTGATAAGCATACTACAATTATGGAAAGAAGATTACAAGTGCAATTCACCACTCCACAACCTTCCACAAAAAGTCAGTTTGTCTAGGTCCATACATATGTTTCTTATAATCCTTTTTAGTGAAGTATACTATATAAGCACTCAATTACTATTTCTTCATTAAGCAAGTATTTTATTGAAATCAAACCTGTTTTATGAAGTGTCGAAATCAAACTAACTATAACAAATAGCAAAAGACACAAAGCCAATTAGAAATTACGAACCTCGCAATGAATTTTGCAAGTATCTATGAAAGAATCATGAAAGTAGCTAATGGCTTCATTTGCTTCTTGCTCAGTCCTGTATCCCACAAATCCAAACTGTCTGCTCTTCCCATCCCTGCACCAAAAGTGAAGTATATTCCATTACTCGGATATTGGAAATTTACAAATAAAAAAAAAAAAAAAAAAAAAAAAAAAAAGGTATAAAACATAGAAAAAAAATTGAAAAACTAAAAAATGGTACTGGAGAAAGAATACTTGGTACGCATGAGCTTGGCGTCAGTGACTTCGCCTTTCTGAGAGAAGAATTCTCTGAGGCTGCCATCTGATACATATCTTGGCAAGTTCTTCACGCATATTCGTGACCTTCATACCGAATATTAATCATAAATATATAAAATACAAACATTAAATTGATTGAAGACAGGTATCTCAAGAGCTTACATATTTGTAGAACTTATTATTAATAACTACTATTGAAAAAATTAGGTGATTTGTGTGTAAATATTTATCAATTAGCATAAACAAATAAATGATATAAACATAATTCAAAAAATAATACTCCCTCCATCCCAATTATATAGGGTGTAGTTCCTTTTTCTCTTCTCCCAAATATATAGGCATGTTTCCTAATTTAGAATATTTTGTTTTGTTCTTTTACCAATATACCCTTATTCAATTTTTTCCACTTAATATGTCAACTTCTTGAAATTATCCAAATACACACATTTCCACTTCTTGGAAACAAGGAACAACTCTCGTTTCTTCTTTTTTCAAATTAAATCATTCAAATTCTTTACTAATTCCAATAATAATTTACTACTACATATTAAAAATTAAATAGGGATAAACTAGGAAAGAGCTTAGAAAAAATTAATTTTCCAATGACAATAAAAAGGAATTCTTAATTCGTGTGAATAATGAAACAAGCCTATATAATTGGGATGAAGGGAGTATAAAATAAGAAGAGGGTTAGAAAAGCAAGTCTTGAGAGTCACGTCGAAGACGCTGTACAAAAGTCATGTTGTCTTCCCTTCGTGAGAGTTCCTTCAGCACTACACGGCTCCAAAATAAATCTCATGTAGCTCTTCTTCTATGAGCACAACTATAGGGAGATAAGTGAATGAATCTCTCATCAAATAGCCAAAATAGTATGAATATAGTATAAAATTGTAGAGAGGACAAAACTTCAAGGTTCTTCTTTTTTTTTTTTTTTCAATGAAATGTCACCTCCTTTTACAGGTGAATATCAACCCCAACAATTAAACTATTAAAGTATAAGTTATCATATGACCTATGGTGATTTAATTTTATGTTAAAACTAAAAATTAATAGGTTTTAATTTTGAAAAGTTGAAACTTATTTCAAGTTACAACAATTCCCCACATTTATAACATATATGTGTGTGTGTGTGTGACACTATAATATTATTAGTTTAATTTTGTATTAAATTGAAATTAAAATAGAAACAACAAATTATTGATTTGAAAATTTAAAACTTAAATTATTTATTTTCCAACAACTACAGCCAAACGGAATTGGAGAAGGGAGAAGAGGGTTTATTGGAATTTGGGTGGCGAGTGAGTTTATACTCACTGAAATTATGTCAATTAAATTTCGTCGATACTCACTGATTGGACTAAATTTTGACATGGTCATTAAAGTAATTTTTTACAGTAGTTAGTTGCTGAAATTTTTAAAGATTACACTAATGATCATTTCATTAAAATT